GGAAAAAAAAATAGTAGTAGTAGAAACAGTTGATTGACAGTTGAGAGGCGGGCGAAAGAGCAGAGCTCAACCCCCGCAAGCACAGCTAGGTGAATACACACACCCACAGGGCTGGATGGCCGAGTGGACAGCGCTCTAGACTCGTGGGCCTAGGGACCGGGGTTTGATCCCCGCACCTGGCGGAGAGAGATGGGCAGAGTTTCCTAAACCCTGATGCCCTTGTTACCTAGCAGTAAATAGGTACCTGGGAGTTAGACAGCTGCTATGGGCTGCTTCCTGGGGGGGAGGGGGGGGGGGGTGTGGAGGAAAGGAAAAAAATTAGTAGTTTGTAACAGTTGATTGATTGACAGTTGAGAGGCGGGCCGAAAGAGCAGAACTCAACCCCCGCAAGCACAAATAGGTGAATACACACATACACACAGCACCCCCTGCTTCCCTATCTCTTGGCTTGCTCCTGCCCCAAGCAGGCCTAAGCAAGATCTAAGCCCTTTATCACCCATCCCACCTCCCTTCGAAACCACTTAACTACCAAACAGGAGGACAAACCTACCAAAATTGCCCTGCCCATCGAACAGCTTCCTCCGCCAGTGGAGAGAGTAAGTGATAATGGACATAAGAAAGTGAGCTTCAAGGTAATGTACTCAAACATAGATGAAATTACAAATAAAGCAAGTGAACTGAACAAAAGGGCACAAGAAGAAAACCCAGATGAAACAGCAATCACAAACAAAATTGTCAGGCAAAATAACAAATGCAGTGTTTCCACGAGCCTATTATACAGCAAGAAAAGAGAGAGAAGAGGAGGAGGAGTGGCCCTGCTGACAAGAAAGGAGTGAAGTTTCGAAGAGATATACAGTACTGTATATCCAAGGCTGTGATGGATTCCGAGACTACATAACGGTAATTATGACAACAGGAGAACCCAAGATAATAGTAGCAGTAATTTATGACCTGATATTAAATGATAGAAGACCCAGACAGGAGCTTGATGGAAACAACATGGCAACAATTAATATAATAGAGCAGCTTCAGTTGCCTGCAGGAATGGATCCAGACTATTAATCATGGGGAAAACTTCAACCACGGAAAGATAGACTGGGAGAATGCAGAACAACATGGAGGTACAGATACATGGAGAGCTAAACTATTGAACATGGCAACAAAAATCTTTGAGCCAACATGTCAAATCGGCAATGACAAACCAGCTAGACTCGAGCTGATATTCACCCTGAATGAATCTGACATAATGGAAGTCAAATTAGAAGCCCCTAAGGGAATGAGTGACCACAACATTCTGACATTTGAGAATCTGGTGGAAGTAGATATCTAGCTAAGGAAGGGATCAGAAAGGAAAGGGCTGGCTTACCAAAGAGGAAACTATGGGTTTCCTCTTCAGTAAGATGAGATGAGGAAATTCCTAATGGGAATACCATTGGAAACAAAACTCAGAGAAAAGACTGTATAAAATGTGATGGGCTACATCACCCAGATGTGTCAGAAAGCAGCAGCCAAGTTTACCCAGCCCAAAAGAAGAAAAATTAAAAGCAACAGAGGAATCTATGGTTCAACCAGGCATGTAAGGAAGCAAAGCAATTAAGTACAAGAACATGGAGAAACTACAGAAATAACAGGTCACCAGAGAGTAGAGGAAGACACCAGAGGGCTAGGAATAAGTACCTCAGTTTAAGGAGAGAAGCAGACAGTATAAAAATTACATTGCAATTAATGCCAAGACCCAACCAAAACTGCTCCACAGGCACATCAGAGGAAAAGAACAGTGATGAAACTGAGAAAAGGGGAAACAGGTATACAGAGAATGACAAGGAGGCATGAAGAACGTAACAAGAGATTCCAGGTCTTCACCACAGAGCAGGAAAAAGTCTATACTGAGAGAGGAAGCGGTAAACCGAGTAACCTTGGAAAAATTTGAGCATACCAGAGGTGAGGTTAAAAGGATTCTGTTGGAGCTGGATATGACAAAGGCTTCTGAGTCTGACAGAATCTCACCATGGATACTATAAGAGGGTGCAGAAGCACTGAATGCACTACTCACTATGGTGTATAACAGGTCACTGGAAACGGGAGCCTACCAGAAAGTTGGAAGACAGCTAATATATTACTAATACTGTATACAAAATGACAGGCAAGAGGCACTTAGCTACAGGCTGGTTTCCCTAACTTGTATACCATGCAAGGTGATGAAGATCATGAGGAAAAGCTCATAGAACATCTGGTAAGAAGGAGCTTTGTAACACACCACCAGCATGGGTTCAGGGATGGTAAGTCATGCCTCACAGGATGAAAAAAATTCTATGACCAGGCGACAGACCTCAGAGTGGCAAGATGTCACCAGCGGAGTCCCACAGGGCTCTGTACTTGTACCCACCCTGTTTCTGATATATGTAAATGATCTTCCAGAGGGTATAGATTCATTCCTCTCGATGTTTGCTGATGATGCTAAAATTATGATAAGGATAAAGACAGAGGAAGATAGAAAGAGACTTAAAGATGACTTGGACAAATAGGAGGAATGGTTCAGAAAATGGCTACTAAAGTTCAATTCCAGTAAGTATAATGAAATTAGGTGAAGGGAGCAGGAGGCTGAGCACAAGGTACCAGGGAGGTGAAATCATCAAAGAGTTAAATAGACAAAAAGATCTAGGGGGTTGATATCACACCGAACCTGTTCCCAGAAGCCCACATCAAAGGGATATCGTTAGCGACATGCTAGACTGGCCAATATAAAAACTGCCTTTAAAAACCTGTGTAAGGAATTATTCAGAACCTTGTATACCACATATATCAGACCAATCCTCGAGTCCATACCTAGTTAAACACAAGACAAAGAGAAGATTCAGAGGCAAGGCCCCAAAAATGAGGGGGTATGAGTTACGAGGAAAGGCTACAGAATTAAAACTCGTGTCTTTGGAAGACAGAAGTGTTAGGGGAGATATAATCACCACCTACAAAATTCTCAGAGGAAATGATAGGGTGGATAAAGAAATTATTTAGCATGGGTGGATCACGAACATGGAGACAGGGGGTGGAAACTTAACACTCAAATGAGCCACAGAGACATTAGAAATAATTTTTTCAGTGTCGGTATGTCACAAACGGAATGCACTAGGCTTTGATGTGGTGGAGGCAGATTGCATACATAGTTTCAAATGCAGGTATGATAAAGCCCAATAAACTCAGGAACCATCTGTACACCAGCTGACTGACAGTTGACAGGTGGGATCAAACACAGGCACGCACATACACGCACGCACGCACGCATGCATGCATGCACGCACGAACACACACACACACACACACACACACACACACACACACACACAAAGTAAATATATGCACACAAACACAGATACACTATATACAAATTTGTTTTTATGTGCTATTTGCTCATAGTGTGTCAAAAGATAAGGTCGTCAATTTCCGGACGGTTGCTGGTCTTAGGACATTGGCAGTTTAAAAACTTCCATTTTCTGCATTGCTTAGTAAAATGACACCAAAAAATACTACAGTATATCATTTGTATATATCCCACAAGTACATATGTTAATATGGTAGCTACAAATGAACATTTTGAGGAAAATATTTGTGACCAATATTTTTGTTACTTCTAGACATGTCTTACGAAGACCACAAGGAAAATAATATTTTGACTTGAAATAAAGATGTTCAAAAATGATTAATTTAGTTTTTTCTTTTTAGGCAGATTTAGAATCCAGAAAGATTAAGCCGACAGATTAGTAAACCTCTAGGAAGGGTAATACTAAGTGTAATTTGATGTGTCCAAAGATTGATGGTGAAAATGGGAGATTATTGGTCTCCAGACAGGAAAAAATTAATTCTACAAATCACTTGAGACAGACAAAAACAGCCTATGATGAAACTAATTTTTAGTATAACCTTTCATCTGGACATCTTGTTAACCAAGAGATGAATCACAGCTCAAAGTAAATGGGAACTTTTATAGTGTAGATGATATTACAAGATGTTTAACAATAGTTTACTCAATTCCTGATGACACCCATTATCATCATTATAATATAAACATACTACACATGTTTATTCAGCTGGATTTATGTGGGAAATGAGTAAAATATCAATTTGTTTGGAGACCACTGCCAGAGTGCCTGGACACATAGCACTCAACAATATTCCAAACACTATCACTCCATCAAAATGTTCAAATGTATCACATGTACAGCATCCATTCCAGCGTCATTTTATAGAATAATGTCTCCTCTTTCAATTAACGACATAACTTTTGCAATACAGTACAACTTTTTTGAAGTCCACTGAGACCAGCAATAACATTATTAAAGTGTCTGGAGACTTAACCCAATTCAGAAAAATTGCAGGACATCTAATGACAGACATGACTCAGAAGACTTTTATAATAAGAACCTTTAATCCCTGACTTTTATGATTTTTACCTGTAACCAATTCAGTTTAATATAAACTGACAAACTAATTACAGGTATCTGGAAAAAAACCCAAGCAGCTCATCTCATATAAAAGGTTGCAACAAAACACGCTTATAAAGCCAAGATCAACAACCACAGATCCCCGAACTCAATATTCAGATTTATGCACCTAAGAGATCTCTAGTTTTATAGGGCCCAAGATATGTCTAGAATTTTGGGCACAAGATGCCAGATTTATCAGCTCAACAAATGCTGAGATTTATACACCCAACAGATGTCAATTTATGGACCCAATAGATATCCAGATTTATGGGTTCAGTAGAAATTCAGATTTATGAACCTAATAGATGTCCAGATTCATAGACCCAATAGATGCCCAGCTTTATGAGACCACATAACATCAGACTTATGAGCCCAGAGATATACATCTCGGCCTAGTTCACAGGAGGCGGCAGACAGGCGTCTGTCTGCCCTTCTTGTTGACGTTCATAGTTAATGATGGACATATGCACTCGAGCTTTTCTTCTTAGACATAAATATGTTAATTTAATAATAATAACTTCATAAAATAGTATTTTAATTTCAATCTGGTAAATAAGATATTCCTGTACATACATACATACTTAAAATGACACAAACTTATCAAAACCATACAGACTATGTACGCCCTCAAACACACCCAATATCAATTTCCCCAAAAGGAGTAGACAAAACAGGCATACAATTACCTTCTTAACTAAAGGCAAATTTTCAATGTGAAAATGTTAAGGAAATTAGAGTACAGAGACAGGAATTCTACGGTATGCTAACAGATAATCAAAATGCAAGCCATACTTCCACAGACCTTCTAACCTTCCATGGCAAACTGCATACTTCATCTTACTCATTACAGTTGATCCAGTTCAAGTAAATGTTCATGTAACTTTTGAGTAATTTCTCCACAGATCTGCCATCATTACCAAGGGTGCAGTGGAATGCACACAACCACCCATCCGTATAGAAGTTCAGAGCATCTAATGCAACTTGGAATTTGGTTGGATGTGGTGTATGATTCATGTCACCAAAAAGCTGCTGCTAAGAGCAGGCTGGATTTTTCCAAATTTTAGAAGGTGCTAAAGTCACTTTTTGTTAGCCTGGAGGTGGTTCGGAGCATCAGCAAACATGTACTTGAGACGGAAAGCTTCAGCAACCAGGAGGCTGATCTCACTGTCAGACCAGCTAGAAGTTGGAAGATTTTGAAGCAGCAGCATAAGACCCTGGAAAAATAGTCATATAACCATTGAAGAATTTTTCAACTCCAACTTTCAAAATGCTAACTTCTTTGTGGCTATGCAGATTTCTATAGCTTACTTGAACAAGAAATGATACACTGTATAGTAAAGATAGTGAACCCAGCAGTTTAGACCAAGTATTTCTTTAAATACAGAGGTTAGTCAAAATCACAAATGCATAAATAAAAAACGAACATGCCTACAAACTCTCACATCCACAAATGCACACACCTACAAATGTACAAGGTTGATGCATGGGTGATCAGGTCAACTGATCACATGAAGGCTCTGGCACACAGTTGGCTATGGCTCATCCTGTTCCTTACATGATTGTTACTTAATGAATAAAGTTTATCCCTAATGATGCATGTAATAGGCACATGAAATAAATGGGTCTCTAGAATCTAGAAGCAGGTTTCAAATAAGCCGAGGTAGGATTACAGCTCTTGCTTGCAGTTTTACTAGGTATATCATTTGACAGCCCTTATGAACCCTAGTCTTAGTTAAAAACAAAAGAAAAATAAAAAGACAGGGACACAGAGAGAGAGAGAGAGACAAACAGACAGAGGCTCATCTCTGTTATACATGACAAGGATTAGAAGAGCTGTACTTACTCCCACTGTGAATTCCACTCGACCAGAGGTCATTGATGTTTGTATCCAGAAAACTGCAACCACACACACCGCCCACACATCCAAATCCTCGCTTTCTTCCTGTTCTCTGTCTTTATCTTTAAACTTTATCTTGTATACAACAGTGAATTGTACAGGGTCCTTTGATGTAGAATACTAATCTCCAATGGATTAACAAGGCCACAATTTAATAGACAGCATCTTGATCGCCTGTGCATTTGACCCGAGTAGACCTGGTTAGCACCTGACTGAGATGTAAGTCAGGTGCTAACACACAGGTGCTAAATTGGTCACATCTTGACTGGGAGTTGCCGCTCAGAGACATTCCACTGTTTTGCTGTTCTCCTGTGTACTGTTCTCTTGTCACAACACCCACAATACCAACAACCACTAATCCCATGCCCTCAAAAACACATGTACATATTTGTTTGTTGCCCTGAAGGAAGCATGAACGAAATTAAAATTAAAGCTTACCTGAAAGTCCCTTTGGGCCATGAGATGATGTGAGAAATACTTCAGAAATGCTGCACACACATACAACACAAAGTGAGAAAAGCCATCAGGTTCAGCATGTAAGGTGTCCCAGAGACGCACAGTGCAGCCTAAGGGCATCTCCCGCATCAGCAGGTTGTTGAACCAACGGAAAGAAAACTGGAGGTAATCAATCTCGTGCCTGTCCAAATGTTGGTGAAGATTGACTGAAAGAAAAATCAAAAGGCAATGTATCAGTTACTCAAGTTATAAGTTGTGATACTGTCAATCATTACAGTACATTTATGTCTGCATTACACTTTTATCAACAGGAGTGTGATGATGACATTTTAAATCAAGTTTTATATGTTGAGCAATTGCATGCCCATGAAATGCAATGACACAATGTTTGTTATAATGCTATGATGGTTTAAACTTGATCAGGACACAATTATAACTAGAAACATTGGGTCAGCATAAATGGGGAATTCCAAGCGCTGAACCATCCTGAGGTTATCTTGAGATGATTTCGGGGCTTTTTAGTATCTCCGCAGCCCGGTCTTCGACCAGGCCTCCACCTCCAGGAAGCAGCCCGTGACAGCTGACTAACACCCAGGTAACTATTTTACTGCTAGGTAACAGGGGCACAGGGTGAAAGAAACTCTGCCCATTGTTTCTCGCCGGCGCCTGGGATCGAACCCAGGACCACAGGATCACAAAACCAGCGTGCTGTCCGCTTGGCCAACCGGGGACCACTCCATACCATCACAAGTAAAGTAACCCAGATACTCTGTACAGAAAGCCCCCTATTCCTCACCATGTTCATAAATTATATGGAGACAGAAATGAACAGCAACTGTAGTCAATTTGCCAATGGCACTAAAATAGGAAGAAATGGGGTAATAAATTCAGATGAGGATGCAAAAACATTAAAGGAAGACCTAATCAGACATTCAAAATAGACAGAATATTGGTACATGTAGTTCAATGTTGACAAATGTAGGGTTTTAAGCCTGGGAAAATAAAATGGGTACAAGATATAAGTTAAACAGGAAAGAAATTTAATTAAAATTGTGAAAAGTATCTGGGAGTCATGATAGAAGAGATCTAAAATTAAAAAGGCAATGCTTAAATGTTAAAAGTAAGGCCAATAAGGCAATAGGATCCTTAATAGAGAAGTGATAGCAATAAAAGTTCTAATGTTATTCTGGTAGTACAATTGGGTTCGTTCCCGACTCACAATCGGAAATTTGGGGTTTGAATCCTGGGGGAGTATAGAATTGGTTGGGGAAGTGTCCTATCACCTAATGCCTCTTTTTACTTATCAGTAAATAAGTACCCAGGAGTTAATCAGCTTGTTGTGTTGCATCCTGGAGAGGGTCAGTAGTTTTGACATTGGGAGGGGGACCGTGATATAAGCCTAACATGTATATATGCACCAGCTGCCTGTCTCCCAACAAAATTAATTATTAAATGAATTAACTTCTTTGTAAATAAGTATAAGATCTCTTTGTGAGATCCAACTTTGATTATGCAGTAAAGCTTTAACTACAATACTATAGAATGGCTATGTGAATCACAGCCATAAGGAATCTCTCCCATGGAAAATGTCAAATGAAACTCGATGTACATTCCTTAGAAAGAAATACAGTAAGAGGAAACATGATTGAAGGGCACAATGGGAAAAAGGGTTCAGCCCTTAACTGCATGACAACCAGGGATGTTCTCACCATTATCAGGTAACCAAGAGTGGTGCACACCAGTCTAACATGCAACACTGTCATGTGGAGCACACCAAAGAATCGCCTACTTATGAACAAACTCAGAAGAAACTGCTTGAAATGAGATAAAGAAAGTGACTAGAATGATTCTGACATTGTTCACAGTCGACTCTGTTTCTCAGAACTACTTTGTGACTCTTTACCAGTGCTACACTGCCAAAATGTGGCTATGCCAAAAGCATGTACACTCAATGTATACTCACCATCAATTCTCTTCATGAGTTCCCCAAGCTGTTGAACCTTGGTTTGTATACCCGGTTGGGCAAAGGTGTAATTGTCTTGGATACCATCAAGGAGTTTAGACATGCACCAAAAGCTGTCGGCTTCCACCACTGCTCGATCCTCTTCCGCTACCAACTCCACATCATACGTGTCCAATTTCTCTTCTGCGAAACACAAAATTGCTAAATCTTTGTAAGGAACTAGATATTATAGCAACCTTTAAATATTTCCCCATGTTGATAAATCAGTTGGAAATGTCATAATGATCAGGCACAGTAAACACTAACATTATGGCTCAAACCTGGTTATTTATGAGATGGGGCAATCTTGTCACAGACAAATCTGACTCTCACTCATGGTGATCATTTACAATGGGCATGCATGCATGATGCAGAAATGGGATCCTGAACCTCCAAACCTCCAAAGTCAACAAAACAGAATCAAAGAGCACTGTGATTGTTCACTTGCTTTTAAGGAAACTGGAAATACTGTACATATCTACATAAAAATGAGATCCAGGGCCCATGCAGAGTCCAAAGAACAAGACAGCACAGCCTGCCGACATGCAAGACGGGAGGTGAAAAACTTGAAAACTGCCTCTCGGAGAATCGGAGCATACAGCTCAAGTAAGGCAGATGACTCCAAAGCAGCCAAGACAAAAATAACCCAGCAAGAGGAGCCTCACCGAGCACCCTTAAGTCCTCCAAAAGCCAATCCAAAGACGGCTCCAAAAAGCTTGAGAAACGCATGACAGAAGCCAGGTGTGTACAAGTCCAAAGGTCATCAACAACCAAGGCAGCCAAGAGAAAGGGCACCTGAGCATGCAGCTGCACAAGACCCACATCACATGAAGGGCAGGAGTAAAGAGGCAAGCACTGAGGGACTCCCGAGACACTTGCAGAAACACCTGCAACATAGGAAACACCTGCCAAACAAGTGTGCAGGTACAACAAAAGCTGCATCAGGTCTAAGGGAGAAAACAAAGGATAGTCCGCTAGCTAGAATGACTCCAGAATCTTGTAACGCACCCAATAAGGGGAAGAAGAACCAAACTCAAAAGAGGCCAAGTCCATAACCAAGGCATAAACCGGGTCATGCAGGAGGTAGGCATCAAGTGCCCCCCGAACCTCCAAAGGGGAAACACAAGAGAAAAAAAATTCCGGGGTGCCCGAAAGCACCCGGAAACAAACCCTAGGGGAAGCCTCACTTAACTCAAACTCATAAAGGAAATTGTGATACAATTGTATCTTGTGATACATCAACCAACACATGCCAATAAATATAAATTATTATATTATTTCATTGTTCAAAATAATGTAAAATGAAGAAAACAATATTGTAATCTGTTTTTGGTAAACTACTTTGTAAACTCATCTTTGGGAGCCCCTTTGTAAACTCACCATTGGGAGCTAATTTGTAAACTCACCCTTGGGAGCTAATTTGTAAACTCACCCTTGGGAGCCCCTTTGTAAACTCACCCTTGGGAGCCCCTTTGTAAACTCACCCTTGGGAGCTAACTTGTAAACTCACCCTTGGGAGCCCCTTTGTAAACTCGCCATTGGGAGCCCCTTTGTAAACTCAACCCTTGGGAGCCCCTTTGTAAACTCACCCTTGGGAGCCCCTTTGTAAACTCACCCTTGGGAGCCCCTTTGTAAACTCACCCTTGGGAGCCCATTTGTAAACTCACCCTTGGGAGCCACTTTGTAAACTCACCCTTGGGAGCCACTTTGTAAACTCATCCTTGGGAGCCACTTTGTAAACTCACCCTTGGGAGCCACTTTGTAAACTCACCCTTGGGAGCCACTTTGTAAACTCACCCTTGGGAGCCACTTTGTAAACTCACCCTTGGAAGCCACTTTGTAAATTCACCCTTGGGAGCCACTTTGTTAAAGCTTATTAATCCCGGACGGACCAAAACGTTGTCGCTTCTCCACGATTTGGTCATCATTTCTTCAGTCCTGTTATTGTCACTCATCGTCTCCATATGGATGCCACACGTAAGCATCTTACTTTGTAAACTCACCCTTGGGAGCCATTTTGTAACCTCATATTTGGGAACTACCTTGTAAAACTCACCTTCAGAACTACCTAGTATAACTCAACCTTGGGAATTACTGCATAAACTCAACCTCTGGGAACTACCTTGTAAACTCACCCTTTGGAACCACTTTGTAAACTTACCTTTGGGAACAACATGGTAAACTCACCCTTAGGAACTACTTCGTGTAGGAAGACAATAAAGAAAGGTGTCACAAGGTCATTAATCCCTTGCACATAGCCTGATGCCGGATGCCTAATAGCCCAAATGTACAAGATGCGTTCAAACATCTGCTGTACAATGATCTGCTGGAAAAGTGGCACTAGAGGTGACATCCTTGGAATATCTATGTGAATCTGAAACATGAAGACCATAATATTTGTTATTAACAAATGAAAGAACATAAGAATAGCGGTAACTCTAGAAGGCCTATTGGCCCACAATACGAGGCAGCTCCTGTTTATAACCACCTAATCCCATTCATATACATGTCCAACCCACACTTGAAACAATCAAGGAACTCCACCTGCACCACATAATGTGGTAATTTGTTCCACAAATCAACAACCTTATTACCGAACCAGTATTTACCCAGGTCTTTCCTAAATCTAAACTTACCTAGTTCATACCCATTGTTTTGTGTTCTGTCTTGTTTTGATACTTTTAGTACCCTATTAATATCCCCTTTGGTATATCTTGTTGTTATATCTTGTTGTAAGGGGCAAAGGTTTTCTGTGAAGAGTTTCCCAATGACTAACTATAGAAAATAAATATGAATTTGGAAAGTTTAGACAGTGGATTGCATTGGAGGGGTGATTGATGTGCACCAAATGTTTAAACAGAGATGAGGCTTGTCACAGGCAGAGAAACTGATGAAAAGCCCACTATTCCACCTCATGTTGTATCATGCTGGCTTGCATTTTGAGCTCACATACATTTTGCTCTTCACGGCAAGTTTACATGAAGAAACCAATGTTCCATGATTACAAGACAGGAATGGTCAGTGCTGTATTTATTATTTAACAGGAAGCCTACAATGTACCAGTTCATGCCTGTATCTCACTTGAACAAATGTGCCCTATTCCAAACCCAGTGTGCTTGGATTTGCCACCTCTTACTATATAGGATTGCTACAATTAAGGAATTTCTCCTACTTCCACGACTAGACCCCAGTCGCTCAACCCACCACCTTAGCTCCCACCAACCGACCAGAAGACTTTCCAGCCTTACCAAAGAGTGGCTCATCCAACCAGGCAACCCAGTCTTCACAATGGGGACCCAAGGCCCCACAGGCTCCTTCACAGCCCCCTGCATCATGTGCAGGCATTACTCCTGGTCTTATTAGACTAGCGGAAAGGTTTGCCAGATCTGACAACCACCATTTTGTCAGTGAACTGAATATATTATACCTAGCCAATGGCCTGGACCCCCATCATATCCCCTGGCGCAAGTCTCACTGCCTCCACTACCACTCCGGAGACTATCACCAGGATGACCACGAGGTCAACTTCAACACAAACTCCAGAACCACCCATGACCCGGGTGGCACAGAGGTAATTCCCTCTCCAGCTCCCAACACTCCTACCATCACCATCTCAGCAGCCGCTCCAGCAGACGTGGTGTCCACAAACGCTAACAGCACCACCAATGCTCCTGAAATAGCTTCTACCACCAATCCACGACACCTGAGCCTATCTAAGACTGCGACACAGAAGACCAAAACGCCAACTATGGAGGTTACGGACTCCTCAGATGAGGAAATCTTAGTAGAAGCTCCACCACTGCACCACAAATACAACACCTACTCGTTTCAAGACTTCCTCATGGAGGCTACCTCACCAAACTACAACATCAGCATGGCTCAGCCAAAGTCTCAGGCAAAGAAAAAATGGAAAACCTAGAGGTCCACACTAACCCCACCAGCTCCATAACTGGTACAGCCAGCTCTCCAGGGCTGAAAACCACCATGAAAACCTCCATCCATTGCCAGATCTTTAGTATCAGCTATTGATACAGATAAAGGCTCCAAAGAGCCTCCACTTATGGAGGCTCTTTGGAGCCTCCACACCATAACCCGTGCTACTGGAACTTCTTGTTCTGAATAGCTGAATTTAAAACAACAACAACATAAGGAATCTCATCCTCCAAAAATTCCTCCAGGAAGAGTCCTGATTACAGATTTCTTTTAAACCCTAACTTGTAAAGTAAAGACTTTTCTCTCTTTCTCCATCCCTACTGTTGTGCA